TCTGCCCCCGCAGAATTGCGAAATTCGCAACAAAATAAGCGGAGGAGCAAAGTTTCGCTGGCGAAAGTTTGTCCTGACACGCAGACAGCGCAATTGTTTGGCCGAGAAATGGAAATGCTACCCACGCTCTCGCTTTCGGAGCTCATTTTCGCTGATACGCCATTTGCAAGTCACAAGTGGCAACTTGATGCCGGCTTGTTCTTCGAGCGGCACGTGCCGCTGCAATGTTATAATTGAATCGTTAAGCGCATTTGATGCGCAGACATGTTGCCAAGATTGCATATTGTGGCAATTTGCTGCAGCTTGCTCGGCAAACATGGGTGCAACTTGCAGCTTGCAGCTTTCTTATGGGGCACGCGTGCACGCACAAGGCTACACCAACAACAGAACAACAGGCAGTCACCTTCTGTTTACCAGCAACAGGAAAACTGCCACTCTGCCAGTAACTCGGCTGCTAATTGTTCTTCACCTCCCCCTTTGGACGTACGCCAGGGAAAAACGAGCTACAACAGCAACTACCACAGCGCTGACACATGTTGCCAATGTTCCTCCTCCTCCTCCTCCCCTCCCCTTCGTTTTCGTTATTTGCTCCTCTTCTGTGTTAATCGCCAGCTGGCGCAAGTTCTTCATGTTTGCTAGCCGTCTGCTGGGTCTTCAAGTATGTAGGTCACTTGCGTTGTTAACTCATTTGAATTGCACGTCAACAATTGTAAAATAAAAACAAAGCAAAACTTTTGCCATTTGTGCAACAACAACTACAACTGCCACAGTAGGAGTAACAAGAGCAGGAGTAACAGCAACAAAGGCAAGTGCTCTGTGAACACGACCTTATCGCTTCAAGTTGCTTTGGAAACTGGAATCAACATTTTTGATAGGGTCTGCCATTGCTGCACGCTTTTAGCATGGGACGGATGAAATATTTGTAAAACCTTCATAATTCCTTGGTCAATAAAACCAAAACTTCTGCAAGAATGCGAACTATTAGACGATGGAACTACTACAATTCGAAATGACATACATTTCTCCATTTCTAAACTTAGGGAAAATTCCAGAAGATTATGTATGGCCAAACGGTTTCCTAACTAGCTTTTTATTGCATTACAATTATTTTGAATGTTTCCTCCACTTCAGACTCTATATTTTACAAAATGTAGCTCTTTAGCCAAATTATACATTTTTGGTGTTAATATGTACAATCCGGGAAGAGGGGTAGTGAAAGAGTGAACGAGTGATTGATAGGGCTCAGGAGCACTCGGCAATGTTAATTGACTTATCAGTTTCAGGTAGCTCGTGTAGCTAAGGTTTCAACAATCAAGTAGCAACTTGAAAATTAGTAATTGGAGCTTTAGTCCTTCGGCCAATTACATTGCAGTGTTCATTTTGAAATCTGTTGAACTAATTTACTTGCCACATTTCCCCCTTTTATGATGGGAACTGGCAAGTTTATATTCATTAAACTTCCGTACATTTTGCGCTTTATTTTTTGGCGCTTTCAATTGTGGCTGTGGAGGCGTGGGTGAAGGCTCCACAACTGCGGCTGCGGTTGCTCCCTGGGTCGCTGTGGTCTCTTGGTCGTTACTACCGGCCGGAAAGTTTATGCTTTTGTATTTCCGGCGGAAAGTAACTCTTAAGGAAAAGTGCAATTTCAAAATTTGTGCAGCAACTCAGCAGCTTTCTTTATTTCTTTCTTTTACTTGTTCTCTCAGGGCAGAGCGAACAGTTAAGAAACCACAACTTTTGCCAGCTCTTACAACTGCCATACCAATGGTGTTTGCTAACCGGTGTAGAGTTTAAAATGCATGAGACTGCCTTAAACATTTCGTGATTAAATCGACTTGACTCGGTAAAATTGTTACAGGACAGCGAGGAAGCTGTCAGGCGTGAACTCAACGCATAAATTTCCATAAATTATATAAGGAATATGTCAAGCAGATGTTTTTGTTTAGCCTGACTTGGCTTTCGTATTAAAGGCACAAAGCTGACGCTAATTTTCTTGACCTCGATACGTTTTTATGCGCCACTATTTACGCATCACTTGGCTTGTCATATTAAAGGCGTAGCTCCAAACTCGATAGTCGATTGTTGGGGCATAGCTTTCCCCACGCATTGCCTGAAAGTTGCTGGATTGAATGGATTTTCTCGCACAATTACTTTCATCATAAATGGCATGCATAATTTATGAGCTTATGACAGCGGTGGCAAACAATAGACAAAAGTTGAGGACAACAACCTGATGATGGTTCAGCGCCCATTTGTATGCAGCACTCGACGCACACTTCAAGCAATTGAGTTACTAATTACTTTGCGCCAGCTTTAATCACCTCGGCTTGGAGCTTAACTGCTTTTGAGCTCCGATCCCCATTCTCTCCCCCCGCCCCTTCCCATCGGCCGATTACGCTTTTCCTGCTTGTCCATTAAAAGTGACTCTAAAGCTTGGAAATTGTTAAAGTCCATTTGCCCGCCACTTTCCATAGCCATAAACAATTAAATATTTACAGTAAGTTGCTGCTGCTGCTACTGCTGCCACTGTTACCGTTACTCTTACTGGTGCAGCTACTGCTACTGCCACTACCCATTTGGCAAATCCTCAATTGGAGCGGCCAGCAAGGAGGGCAGTGCCTGAAGATAACGGTCAAGGCTCTGCGACATCGGCATAGGCAAACATATTTTCGCTATAGAAACAGCCCGCGGGGTGCCAGGCGTTAATTGGCAGACTCGCTCGTGGTTCTGGACTGGCCATTGTTCTAATGGCCTGGCCGAAATTGTTGTGTAAGCTTTCTCTTCCTCTGCCTCTGTTTAAAGTGCGAGTGAGAATTTGTAAGTAAGCTGCGCCATTGCTTCTAATTGTTTGTAGGCGCTGTTCACCTTGCCGCGAGGGCTTTGTCCACCCAGGCAGGCTTTCAATGTGCCACAGTACCCTGCTGGTCCGTGTTGGCTAGCTTAGCAGCGAATGATTAGTGCTTTTTGTGCTTGATGTCAAAAACAATTACTCTATTGAAGAGTGGTGCCTGCTTCGAGGTATCGATATTGCGATACAAGTAGTATTTACACAATTCTTGAAGTAGATTTCGCATTAGAATTCTTAATAAAATATAAACTTTCTCGAAGGGTACTTTTTCAGAAGTATTACTGTGTTTTCTTATCAAATATATGTTTACTCAAGGAATAATCTACATTATATCATCTTATCCCGTTAAAAGATTTCAACAGATAGAAACAGAACTGTACACTGAATTTTTTTGAAATTTACCGATTCTTTAAGTGTTCTAGTAATCGAAACTTGAGATTCTTTAATATTGTTCGCACTACAAAAGGAAGTAAAAGAAACCCCTTGTGTATGCTGTATTCCCTCGACTGCACCTTATGGCATAAATTTTATTCCTCATGTGCCGTGAACTGTAAACTCTACTGAATCCAAAATATATAATCAACTACATTAGTTTACTTCATCTAAATAATCGCGGCACGGAAGTTTTGTTTTAGTATGAAAACAAGAATATCAATGTGAAGTACAAGTATATCTTTATAAACAAATGCATAAGTTGTTCATAAACAAATTATTTCCAAGCCATATTTCAATATTATTCATATTACATGATGCAGTTAATTGACATGACTCATAATATAATATATAGTATATAGTATATTTTATTTCCACATCCTTTCATTTTTATATTTTTATATCCTATTTTGAAAACAAAGATGTTGATTAAAACAATACAACATATGAAAAGAATTTAATCTGGATGAACTTGGCTTAAAAGGCAAACAATTTCAAAAGCTTCGAAAAGCCTTGACACAATTACGAACTAACAACTAGTTTAGAACAGTGTAGTAAATAGACAAGCATATGTTTTTAAAGCCCTCAACTGATAATTATCATGATGATGGTGATGTTGACGTTGGTTGATGATGATATTAATTGCGATGTAGCTTTCGTTGACAACATTGCACAAATAGAGGGAATATTCAATTACAGCCCACAGAAAAAAATTAACACACGCACATACGCACAAAAGAGAGTGGGCGAGTGAGTTGATTGCCGACTGCTGGCGTATAAAAACAAATTTAATTACCAAAACCCACAACAAAAGCCACAACAAAAACATTACAAAACCGCAAAAATAAACAAGCCAGTTGAAAGCAAAAGTTGCCAGGCAAGTGTCGGCAGGACCTTTAAATGTGGCTACTGCGTACGTTGAAAGGAACAAGTATTCGAGGGAGAAGGGATGAAGGAACATGGCAAACAAAACTGTGTGAACTCTTATGGCCAGTGCATGTTCAAAGGCTTCCTTAACACTCTTCCCCTCCCCGTTTTCTTCATTACAGTTCATGTGAAATCAAGAGTTTCCAAAGTGTGTTTCAACTGTGAACGTTAAATTTAAAGTACAGAGTAATAAATGCTAAAAAAATGTTGCTACTATGAAAAGCGTGCAGCGTTCTGATTTATGTAAATACCACAGAAAAGCACAACGCAAATTGCAAAAATACCTCAAAGGCAGTCGCACAACGCTCATTAAAAATAGTGTAAATCAACAGGAGCAGCAACAACTAAGGACTAACCAGAAACAGCAGCGGAGAAGGCAACACACTTATCATTTTAATCACTCGCAGCAACGCCAACAAAGTGAATTTTCAAAGGCTCACGCCTCGACACGGAACAGAGACAGGACCAAGTGCAGTAACAACGTCCACGAACACCTTGACGACGACAGCAGCAGCAGCAGTAGCATCAGCATATTAATTGTTCCATTGTACAGGAGGCTGAAGGCAGCTGCCTACTCCACAGAGCTTGCACCTTCGCCGCATTTGCTACTGCCTGCTCTCGTTGTTCTCTAACTGCCAACGCTCCCCCACATCCACATCCTCATCGACATCCAGGTGCGTTTGGATCCGCCCATCCCTACTGCTGCGGGTATTTTTGCTGCTGCCGTGCAGGGTGCGAACATCAGGAAGCAAAACGTCGACGTCGTCATTGTCCTGCCCCAGCCTGCGTAGTTATGGTCGATCCATTAAAGATCTTTTGGGTTTTGACAAATAGCACCTATTTGGGTAAGTGTGAGTAATAACTTGTCTGTATGTGTGTGTGTGAGCCAAACGAATGTTACCCCTGGCTCTGTGAATAAACTAAACAGCACGGCTGTGCATATGATTATTCACTCAACGTCGACTTCAGACATCTTCATGAGATGTAATTTTTATGCACACAACAAGCTTAAACGCTTATATACGAGTATGTATATATTTTATGCTTACTACTTATATATGTATCCCTGTGCTTATGTGTGAGTTTGGATATGTCTGCCTTTTAATATACGCATTAATATTTTTAAAGCGCTCCTGAAAGCTTTTTATACTCATTCTGGAATGCGGAAGCAGCAAACTGTAAAAATGGTGCCTGTAGTGTACATTCCTGGTCATAAAGCATTCTTTGATATTTTATAGCCTCATTAGAATACGTAGCTTTTAATAGGGTATGATGAAACGTTTATACTACGAAAAAATATCCATAGTTACCATTTGGTCTATATGTATGCCAAGATTTGGTTCTCGGTTATGTAAGAAAGAATAGGCCGCAGCTCAATTCATTCGATGGCATTTGTCAACTGATATTGCATCCGTTCATTTGATTTCCTGTGCTTTAGCAAACAGGCTAATTATGTATCAAATTATTTTATTTAAGTATGAGCAGAGTTTTTCAGGCAATTCCTTTTAATGGCGTACTTCCCATTAAGTAGAATGGAAGCGCTATATTTCTAAATTTCGACAGTCTGCATTGGAGACCAACTAGATCTGCAGTACTGCAGTAGGTTTCGACTTGCTTTAAAAGGCGCTTTCAGAAAAAAGCCCTAATTCTTTCAATATTCAAGATAGCACACAATTTAATTTATTTGCATAAGAGATGTCGCGCTTAAGTTGTATTGCTTGATATAATTGATACAAATAAGTCGATAGTTTCTTTAGATGCATTTTAATGTTATTTTATAGATAGAGCATTAATCCAAGTTCGCTTAAAATGTCAAATTTCTGTGCGAATTTCTATGATGTATCACAGTTAATCTTTAATTTCTAAGGGAGCTGGTGCACCAATTAGTGTTATTATTATTCTTTGAGGATTAAATTTCGTTTCATTTATCTTATTCAATATTTGCCGGCCTTTAATTTTGATTAGGTGCGCGCATTAACGCCAGATCATTATTAAGATACATTATGCCTCAGGTGCTCATAGATAAATACACACAATAAATATTAACTCATTTTCTTTGGCAGCTTCGCTGAATCAGCGGAAAGCCGCAAGGTGGTGTAAATCACCCCTCCCCTCCCTCCCCCCCCACCAAAAAAGCACAAAAATACAATCCATTTAATAAACTCGTTGAACCCAAACACACTTAACGCCCTCGGGAGGAGCACAAGGAGAGAGGGGCCTGGGCATAGGCTGTGTGGTGGAGAAGAGGGCGCAGGATTGGACTTGGGTTCAGTGCAGCTCATTAATTTTGTGGCAACCCGCTCACGATTTTGTTTAATGTGAAATTTCAATTAAAAGAGCCCCGGCACGAGGGCAGCATGAATGAATATTTGTATTCATTAGCCCGTCATCATCATGAGTAGTCAGAATGGAACCTAAGTCCAGCTGAGTGCGAGCCGGTAACAGCATCCGGTCAAAGGAGGCCGGAAATGGTACCAACGGCTGCACGTTCCTTCAGCCCATTGCCGCCTGCCCTGGCCTGCACTTAAACTTTTGCCTGCATTTTGGGACTGCCTCTAAATTTGTTAATTAAACTTATGAAATGCTTAGAAAAGGATTTCACAGGAAAGCAACAAAAACAACAGCAACCGCCGCGAGTAAGCAAAAAATGTGAAGCCCGCAACATGAAATCACGAGTTTTGTCGTCGTCTGCCTTTTTATATATACATTTATTTTTTATTTTCCGTGACTAATTAAAAAGTGTGCGAGGCGCGTCTGGCAAACAAAAGCGACAAGGCAAAACACGAAAAACACAAAAAATGGAAACAAGATGGAGCACCAATATAAAAATTATGGCACACTCTGAGAACTGGGTACTGAGCGGGGGGTAGGTACGAGTACAAGGACGAGTACAAGCTCGACTATGTTGATGAGTTGACAAATATTTTGTCAGTCATAATGAGTTCAGCTGTCTTGTCGCCACTGCCATCAGCGTTCTTGTTGCTTTTTGTGTTGGTGTTGGTGTTGCTGTGGATGTTGTTGCTCTCGTTAATGGGCCGCGACTTGTTGGGACGTGTTCTGCATAGGCCGCTGACAGGTTGCCGCTGCTACTGTCGCGGGCGCTGCAGGGGGCTCTGCCTCCGGTTCATTAATAAACCAAGTGCCAACTGCGTGGTAATTATGCACGAGGCTTTGGCTTTGGCTTTCGCATTGGCCATGGATGTCAGGGGCATTGCGGCGACCGCAATTAAAAAACTTTTTACTTAACATGAAATAAAATTACGTTTCGTCAATTTGCAATTTGCAATATTGCGCATACGCCACATGTGCTGGTCAGCTACAACATCTGTCGGCGGCATTCGTTAGCTTGCGATTAAAAGTGCTCGCCCAGCAGCGGGTTGCCTGTCACATTAATTTAAAAACTAATTAAGATATACAAACATGCACACACACGACATATTGTATATATGGGGGGTTAAACAGCCGCAGGTCAAACAATGTCGAGTTAATGTTTACCACACAACTGTCACGCTTATAACATTTAACAAATAACTTTAGTGTCAGCCTTTGTCTTTGTATCTTCACATGTAATTCATTTGAATAAGCTTTTTAGACAGAATACACAAGCAAAACTATGCTCCAGGATATTCCATAAGATAGTATGTCAAGGGTAACTGCAACAGAATGATAGATACATTAATTTAATTTGGCACAGAAGTCAAAGACGGAAACCAGTTACATTGTTGCACAATTTGGGTAAATCAACGTAACTGAAGATGTGAAAACTATTTTCCTTCCAAATCAATCAATCAAAATACATTTAAGGCGATTTATAATATTTTTTATTAAATATATTTTCTTTTAAAACCTATTCATCAATTACATGTTACTTCATTAGAAATTATAATAAGAGATATTACATACACCATAGCTACTACAATGAGTAGGAATACATCCACGTTTTCAAATTGTATGCCACTATTTAGTTTATTTATATGGATGGGTAAACTTTTTTGCATATTACAAAAAACTGGTGGAAGCAGCACTAGTTTCGGAATACTTAATCCAAAAGACATGTGTAAATACAACACAAGCTTACCATAAACTTTCTAGAATTTATTGCCCAATGTTTGTGTTGTTGCTGCTGTGGATGTAGTTGTGAGCTTTGCGGCTCTCAGTAGGCGTGGCATGCATTAAGTGGTGTTAAGCGCCTCAAGGATTAAAATTTGTGTTGACGACATCAACAACAAAAAGTGTGTCATCAGCATGTGTGATAATGTTTGTGCGAAGTATGTGTTTATATGTACATATGTGTACATGACTGTGTGTGTGTGTGTGTGTGCTTAGGTTGTTTATTTGTATTGATGCTGGTTATTTATTTATTTGTTTATCAATGTTTGTGCCTCTGGCATTTATGCTTGTTCTATGAAAACTAATTAGTAAATTAAAAAGTTGTCATTTATTTATTTACATAGAGTTCCGAGATTGTCTAAACTATGCGCAGATAAGTTTGTTTGCGCTTCTCTCTATACACAGATAGCTGAGGGCCATTAAAGTTGAATGGAATAGTGGCTTGTCAAAGGCGAATGTTGACAGACTGTTGGCCACACAGACTGGCAATGCTTATTGAATGGCACACAAAAACTCATCAATTAATTTTAATAATGAAATGCACATTTGCTTGAAAATTCTTTGTCTTTTCATTTGATGGAGTAACTAAATAAATTAAAGAGGGAATTAAGTGCGGACTTAAAGTAAAATAATATGTTTCAGTTGAAGTATAGTTTAAATTAAAGATACACATAAATTATTTTCTTCAATTTTATAGCATTTGAATGTAATATGTGAAAAGGTTGTTATTTAAATATTTTTGTGCTTGTCTTAGATGTTAAAAACGTCCTTCAGTTCCTTTTTAGATTATAGTTTACTTTACAGAAACAGTCTTCATTCCCGAACAACTTGCTACTTAAATTTTTAAAAAAAAGTAAAGTTTCAACTTTAAAGTATAAAAAATATAAATATTACTTATGAAGAAATCATAAAATTAGAATAAATTAGTAACATCTACAATTGAAAATAAGAGGCCAAGCTCGTGGGGCTTTATGAAACCTAAACATCGAACGTAATGTTTAATAGATTGCTGCAGATTCTCATTATCTTGAAGGTTTTTTTTTTGAGGATTATTATATATGTGTAAAATTATTGGAGAATCATGTAATGCTGCGTGTAATCCGATTTAAATATATTCTGAAAATGTAATCTATTCATTAAATTAAAGTGTAATTTGAAAAAAGTAACACATAATATGGCAGATAGGTGTTTGTTGACTTCTATACGAACATGTATTCGATTTCGAACAAGACATCCATTGTATGCTATCAAGTCAGCATCCAGCCACAAAAAACCGACATGGTATCGTAATACACAACAGGCAACATAATCAACCCTCTCCTCTGACTTTCAGCTCCAGCCAACTGTCACTTTTAATATGACGCGCTTTGTTGCCTTTTTGAAAATTCTACTTCCGCCACACCCACATTTCCACTCCCCCACTTCACCCACCGAGTAAGCCACGACAAACACAAAAGCAAAAAATGTATCCAAACACACGCTGTGCGCCCTGTAAACTACTCTCTTTGCTCTGCCATTTTTGTTTTCAGTTTTCAGTTTGCAGTTTCGCCTCCCCGCCACCCCTGCGTAACAAGCTATGGCTGATTTAAGCAGTTTTGACATTTGACGCCACTTTGCGCACATTTTTTTCTAAATCATAAGAGGCCAGAGCGCAGGCACCCCCAGTAAAAAAGTTCAAAAAGCTGCAGATGGGTGGCGGGCAAAGGGATTGGGGCAGGTGCAGGGGCTGGGACAGCGGCAGGGGCTGGAGGTACATATTTGTATGCATGTGTGTTTACAGACGCGACTGCCACTCATTCATAGACTGACATAAAAGCGTGGGTGTGTTGTGTGTGTTTGCTTATAAATATACATACATACACACATACATACTCGTAGGTATACGCTCGGCTTGCTGCGAGTCTGGCGCTTGTTAGTGTACCAGTTATGCGGCCATAAATAGCTGTCTGCTCGCTGCTCGTCAGCCTCCACCTGCCCGTTAATAGTTTAAAATGTGCTCTACCTCTCAGATATGACTGCCAGCATTGGCCCTGGCTCTAGCTCTGGTAGTAGTAATGGCAGTAACTGTAGCTGCGGGCTGGTGAGTTGTTCACTTTGCCGCTCAATTTAACTCCAACAATAGGCACTTGAGCATGCAGCCGCCTCAATTTTGTTTTATTGTGCCAAGAAGGGGGGGAGAGGAGCAGCAAAAATTAAGTCAAGATAGCGCGCACTGTTTGTCGAGTAAGTAGGGGGGGCTGGGATGGAGGCTCTTTCAAAAAAATTCAATCTCAACTCGATGTGGGGCCTTCAATGTGTTTACTTATCGTACACAAAAAGCAAATGAGTGCGAGGCAATGAATGAGTGCGACCGTATGAATGCGAGTGGGTGCAAGTGAAGCAAGTGAGTGTGTGAAGCTGGCTTTGTATTTATTTAGTATATTGTAGCTACACACACTTACGCGCTTACCCTACACTCTCATGTACATTTATCCTTCACGTCCTGCACTCTCTATTTGCACGGCTTGTGTGGCTCTGTGTGTGTGTGTGTCTTAGTATGCTTGAGTAGAGCCAAAGCTCGCGTTCTCTTTGGCCCCACTCTTGTCCTGCGTACATATTTATTTTTGTTCATTTCCCATTTCTTCTTGCACTTTTTAGCATTACGTGCCTCCGGCCCAAAACTAAATAAGGCAAGCGGCGTGTGTTTGCAGTAAATTCTAAATTAGATTTTATTTGTTTAAAAAAAAAAGTAAAGCTACACTTGATTGCTTTTAATTTTTCAAAGGAGACTTGAAGAGTTGTCCCGCTTACAGGCATTGGTTTTCTAATTAAGTTAGCTCTTGGTATTTGGTTTTTAAATAAATCTATATATTTCCTGATAAGCTGTGGGAAGCTGAGAAGTTATTTAAAAATAACGTGGAAAGCTGATTGGTCTTATTAGCTTATTTCAGCAAGCAACTAACGCTTAGTATTTACATCGATTATTTAAAACGAATTTAAACCAATTTCTGGTCAGAGCATACTTACAATAATGTCACTCAAAATGTCGAAGCAATGTCAGTATTTTGAATACACTCGCACACATACCAAATGACTTGTTGGCAAGTGCACTATTGGGCTCTTTGTTGCCATTGTAAAATGTAAGGGCGTACGTAAGAACATTGTAAATAAATAAATAAATTACCAGACAAGCATTCACTATACAAAATTGCAAAATTATATTAAAAAATATTTTGTTGCCTGAAAGGAAAGCAGCAGTCAATGTTTAAAAGGCATGCTTGTTAAAGATTAAAGCCCGAAAGAAGGAAGTGCGTTTAATAAAATGAATTTATAGCGCGCTCGGATGTTCCAGCTGCAGTTGTGTCTGCAAGGGCTGGCCAAGTAACTGTATTGCATGCGAGTACGAGTATGTGTGTATGGGAGAGTGTGCGAAGTGCATGAATAAAATACATTCCAATATTACACATACGCACCGTCAGCCCGGCAGCTTTTATGCTGGCGTGCTGCCTGCTGGCAATATTAATTTTCTGTGAAATTTTATGATGTGTGACTGTATATGCAATATCTGCGTACATACCTACATATAACTGGCTACGTTTATATGTATGTGTGTTTGCCGGTATATAAGTATTTATGCATGTATGTAAGTATGTGCAAATGCCAACCACTCCCATTGAAAGCTTATGTACTAAAAATATTCTTTATTTATTTATACAATTTTTGTGAGGACGGGACTTTTTGAGTTTACACAACTTGTTTGCGCTTAGTTTGTGCAGCTGGCTATAAAATTCTGACAGGAAAAGCAGATTATTGCTTCCGCATGTGAGAAACTTAACAAAAGGCACCAAAGAATTTAGAATTTTGTAGCTGAGTGTGTGCGTGTGTGCGCGCGTATGTGAGCAGTCCTTGATATGCCAAAGGAAGTGCAGCACAAGACCACTTGGGTAGCAGAAAAAGAGCATAGTTCAAAGTTGCAGGATGAAAAAGTAAACCACTTTTATGTTTCGATGGCAGGAAATGCTTCAAAATAATGCAAGTAATTGAACAAAGTGAATGATTAAGCAAATGGGCTATACTCTGCCATAATAAACTAGGTCAGTTCATGGATCAGCTAATGGCAGTCTGCGTTAAGTTTTAAACCAAAGTATTCCAGCATACTCTGAGCCATGTGTATTAGAAAACTCATTTACTCACGTTCTCCTACACAGAGCAACACTGAAAACTGGCCAACAAGTTTTCTTTCGCAAGACATTAGCAGGAAATAAGCAAATAAACAAAACCAAACCAAACCGAACTGAACCAAAGGCAAACAAAATACAGACCGAGAATTAAAGCGACCAACCGACTGCACTTTGAAGAAACTTTTTTTGCTGTTTGCTGCACAAGTTTTGCTTTGAGCAAAATGTTTTTTAATTTCTACTTCAAAACTTTGTCAAGAGAGAGAGAGAGCTGTTGTAGTAATTTGTGACCGGCGATATTGCCCAGAGATGTGTGTATGCTGATGGACAATTTAATTATACCGACCTAAACTGCTACTAAAGCAAATATATTTAAAAAATCGGCTCCAGTCCCGACAGCAGTCGAGTTAGATGTTGGCCACGTTTTGCGCATAAATCGGGCACTTTACGATTTCCTGAGCCGACGCCGCCTATGACGCCGCAATTTGTCAATCAATAAATTTCCTATAATTAGTGTTGCTTATTGACATTTCATATACTCCAATCCAATCCAATCTAATCGAATTGCAGACAATCTATAAACAATTCCCCAGCGCTGCCTCCCATCTCCGCTCGCTCGCTGACTTGTGCCTCGTGACTCATGGCTTGCGCTTTTCTTTTCCCATTTTTATTTGCAGTTACAAAATTTGTACGCATTGGTATCGCCGACAAAAACGACTCACCACCATATTTCGATAGATTTCTGTACGAGACTGAAATCGATGAAAATGCCGATTTGCAGACTACAGTGCTCACTGTCAACGCCAAGGATCACAATGAGTGTGAGTATACATAAAGTAATAAAATGCAATTTGTATGTACATATTTCGATGATGCTTTAATAGTCGACTTGGCAGTGATTTCAATACAAATGGCCACTATTTTATGCCTTTTTAATGCCTCATATTGCTGTACATTTTCTCCTTTTACGACTGTTTCTAATGGAACCAATGACGATGACAAAGTGTCGACCAAAACGTAAATGATTAGATCCATAGTTTTCGCATATGTATTCAAGCATTTACTCATTTCTTTGTTCAATCAAAAGCTTATGTGTAATCTTATTTTGGTGCCGCCCAAGCAAACAACCAACATTTTCACGCAATTACACACGCACACACACACGCACACACACACACACATGTATACACATATAGATACATGAACAATATTCTGCCTTATGGCATCATAAACACCATACAGAAAACCCAATTTAGAAATTTCCTTCATGTCATATTTATGCATAAAATTAAAACATTGCTTGAATATTTTTCACATGGCAACAATATCTTTGCCGAACGGCCATAATAAACGTTTATTTATTTTAATACGATGTAACCATTGTCAAATATTATTACGCATACGGCATGTACGCCAAATATTTACCAAATATTAACAAATAAAAGCTCATTGAAACAAAAAACACACACAAACATTGCATGATACTACACAGACATAAGTGCTTTCTTGCCATGAATAAACCCATAAAATACAAAGACAAACATGCAAGCCAACAGAGGCAGGCGAGCGTCTTATATTTGTATTGATTTCCTTACGGAAATTATTATTGTTAATATTATGGGCATAAGCAGTAACAACAAAGAGAATTACAAAAACAACAACAACAACAACAACGACAACATCAGCATCGATGGCATTAACTACAAAGACAACAAAGAGCAAAGCAAAGCAAAGCAAATCAAAAGTACGAGGAAGGCAGCCCTTGTTTACATAGAAAAAACATTTGCAGCACAGAAAACATTCAAAATCTCATTGAAAGCATTTAACAACTTTTGCTGCCAACATGAAGGGAAAACTGAATGGGTGTTGGGTGTATAGTATGTGTTCTTCCAAGAACTTTGTATAAACAAATGTGGGTCCACACACAACCGCAGCCTTGACAGTTGGACAGACAGACATGGCACACATGACATTCAAAACAGCAACAGCGTGACAAGAACTCGACTCAACATCAAGCCAAGCCAACTTGACGTCCTCAGTCCCTCGTCCATCTTCCTTTTTCTTGCGACGCCCTTACGACGGCGACAAAACATTAACCCGGATTGGAAACATGGAAAAGGGCAACGCCATACAAATGGAACTGAATATATGTATATACTCGTATATGAGTATAGTATATGAGTAGGAGTAAGTGTGTGTGACTATAATATTACCCGAAAAGTTGAGAATGAAGGAAAATAAATGTGCACACGAAATTTTCAGCTAGTCACAAATACATAGAAATCCATATCGGGTCCGATTCATTTATACATATTTTAGTAGTAAAGTCAGGTCAATAATATATATGTTTGTAAGTATTTATTTACACAAAGCACTACACACAACTGTCTTGTACAAAGAACGATCAAAAAGTGATGTTCTCTTTATTAATTATGTCTTGTGTACCTCTGAGAGCGGGAATGCTCTCAGTGTGTACACTAATGCTTATTATACTAAGTACAAAAGTGTATACATCCTTACTTTCTACGGTGATTAGAGTAACGGCCTGCTACAACTCGGCCATCCTTACGTCTAGATCTCCTGATCGTACAGTTATTATTGAGAACAGTATTTTTTCTTTTATGTCTAACATGAAGTAGAGATTTTCTTAACTTAACAATTGTATTACTTAAACATAATTTCACACTACGACATTTTCTTTTGAAGGCTTGCTTAAATTGACAAAGGTGGTTTTTTCTATTGTACTTTCTTTTTAACAATGTTTTTTGTTTTGAGATACAATTCTTATTTATGGTATATTTTTTTCTCTTTTGTACATTTGTGGTTTTTCTTTGTATCCAATGTTTTATATTGTGTATACCCCAGACACCTTGATATGGATTGCGAGAGACTTGAAATCCTTCGACATCTTTCAGAAGAAATCTGTCATTTTTTAGAACTTTTGCAATAACATATGGGCCTTTGTGTTTTGGAATTAATTTTCTTGCTACACCTACGGTAGAATCAAAATTTTTAACCATTACATAGTCTCCTTCATTGTATTCAGTTGGTTTTTTTCTTTTTCTATCTACATATGTTTTGTTATACATTTGTGCCCTTTTCTGGTTTTCTTCAGCATTTTCTCGTATATTTTTTAAGTCTCTTTCCGAAACAGTTTTATCTAATTCCTCTAGCTTCTGCCTTAGCTCGTCTATGACCTTCCCTGTCTGTTCTATTCCAAATAGCATTTTACTGGGTAACTGTTTTATGCTTCGATGCTGTGTGTTATTTAATGTATGTTCGACTTTTTCTACAACTAGATCCCAATGCAAACCATTTTCTGGTTCTATCAACTTTGCTATCATTGGACCCAGACTTCTATTAACTCTTTCTACCTGCCCGTTTGCTTGAGGTGATCCTGTAGCTATTTTAATGTGTTTGATATTGCATTCCTCAAGGAAGTTTTTGAAATTCTCGGAAGTAAAAGCAGAACCTCTGTCTGAAATAATGCATTTCGGACGACTGTATGCTCTAAAATAGTCTTTTAATGATCGAATTACCTCTTGTGTATTGGTTGTCTTTGTTGCATATAATCTAACGAATTTAGTGAAAGCATCTATTATTACTAATATATATTTATTAGCTCTTCCTGCATCTACTTGACCGTAATGGTCAATATGTATAACATCAAATGGTTCACTACCTTTAGGAATGCTGTGCATAAATCCATCTGTTTTTCCTGTTTTTGGTGAAAATGAGACGCATTTTAAACAGTTTTCGATATGTTTAGAACACTTTTCTTTAAGGTTAGGAAGCCAATAGCTTTTCTTTATAGCTTCAATCATCTTGTCTCTACCTACATGTCCAAGTTCATTATGGTACTTGAACATAACATGATCTTCCATTTCATTTGGAACATAAAATAGCAATCTATTATCATTTGACTTTTTATATATTATTCCGTTGCGCATCTCATACAATTTATGTTCTGTTTTCTCTAAAAATTGTCTAATTTCTTTCAGTTTACTATCTTTTGCCTGACATATAACTAGATTGTCCTCAAAGCTATTTGTTTGAACGGTCATTATGTTTGTACACCTGCTTAGAGCATCAACGTGCTGCATACGTGTACCAGGTCTATGGACTAGTTCATAAGTATAATCTTGAAACTCAAGGGCCCATCTGGCAATTCTAGGATTAAGTTCAATCTTATTTAGTGTAAGTGCTAACGAATTACAATCTGTAACGATTTTAAAATCTTTGCCCTGTAGATAAACTCGGAATCTTCGTAAAGCATAAACAACTGCTAACGTTTCTAACTCAAAGCTGTGGTATTTTGATTCGACATCTGTTGTTCTTTTGGAAAAATAGAAAATTGGGTGCAATTTTTTGTCTTCTTTCTTTTGCATTAGTACGGCGCCAAATCCTAGAGAACTGGCATCGCAATGTAGTTCTGTTTCGTGTTTGTAATTGTATATTGATAGAACTGGTGCTTGTGTCAATTTCTCTTTCAACATTTTAAAACAATTGATTTCATCGAGGCCAAATCGGAAAAGTCTATCTTTCTTTAGAATATCATATAAAGGCTTAGCAACGGTAGAAAAATCTTTTATAAACCTTCTGAAATATGAACAAAGGCCCAAAAAGCTTTGTACCGCGTTCACGTTTGTTGGCGTTGGAAAATGTTGAATGGCCTCGACTCCTTTATCATTGGCTTTTACTCCGTCTTTTGTTATTAGGAAGCCTAAGTATTTGACACTTTGTTGCAAGAACTCGCATTTGTCTATTCGAAGCTCAAGTTTGTTTTCAACTAACCGTTTAAAAACTTCTTTGAGGGTATCTAAATGTTCGGTAATATTTTTGTTTGCTATCAAAATATCGTCCATGTATACGACGACCTTGTTTTCTCTAATCATGTCGGAGAAAATTTTGTTAACAAATCGTTGAAATACAGAAGGCGCATTTTTAAGGCCAAATGGCATTCTTAACCATTCGAACTGGCCTAATGGTGTGACAAAGGAAGTGTATTTAACTGTTTCTTCGTTGACAAACACATGGAAGAACCCATTTTTGAGGTCAAGTTTTGTGAACACCGTTTTATCTACCAATTTGTCTAAAAGGTCATCTATCAATGGTAAGGGATAATTATCTTTCAGTGTAATTTTGTTTAGTTTTCTAAAATCTACACACATTCGCAAGTCACCTGTTTTCTTTTTTACTAATACAATGGGTGAAGCATATTCGGAATCACTTAGTCTAATAAATCCTTTTTCTAAGTATTCATCTAGTAACTGTTGTAATTTATCTTTTTCCATATATGATAAGCGTCTTGGTGAGCAACTAAACGGTTTCGAATTGTTAAGACTTATTTTTAATTCACACTTTACTAACGGAGCGAACGGGCGTTTCGCATTAAGATAAACGTTTTCAAACATTTTAACGAATTGCAGCCGAAAGGCGTGGCTTATGTTTTTACCTATGTTGTACTCTACTTCTTCATTGCATAAGTGGTTGATTTCTAACATTTTTCTCTCGAAATTGTCTAACAATGGTTTAACTGACTCTAAATTTGACGCAACAATTTTATCTTTTGGAGTAAGCTTACTAACAATTTCTGTTGACGATTGGTTATCTAACGATCTATTTCTAACAATTGTACTAACGATCTCGTTGTTTAGGCTATCGCTTTTAATTTCAGTTTTATCTAACAATTGATCTTTTGTTTCTATACTTTGTGTAAAAGTTTTAATTTTATCAATGGGCTTACAAATATTTTCAATTTCTTGCTTATTATGAACATTGTTGTTGTTTGAAGCCTCAACATTAGATTCTAAGGTGTTGG